CGATACTCGCTTGTGTGACAGAGTGAAGATCAATTCATTTGTATTGGTTGTTCGATTATTCTCATTGATTTTCGGAAATCTAACTTATCACTTCCATTTTGGCATATGTGAATCCTATGCCAATAGCTTCCATATAGCTTTTAGATTACAAGTATAACTAGCAGAGTTAGATAATGACAAGTAGCGCCAAAGGAACTGATCAGTTGTAGTCCGTAAACATTAACCGGAATATGTAAACAGTCATTGTAAATGGTTTGAAATGAGTAAAAATACACCCTACAGTTAATAAATCAGTCAACAACAACGGCGAACTTTGTATGTGAGTAAATCAGTTCAAGTTACTAAAGCACATGAGTACAGCGATACAAGTGTCAATTTAAATCCCCCCAGTCGTAGAGGTAGTAGAAGTGTTAGGGGTAATGGAGAAGATTAAAGGTTCAAAGATATGATTCTCGAAGTATAACACATTGAATTAAGCTTAAAAAAGGAGAAAGATACAAGTGATGAAGAATACAACAGATTAGAATTCGGGAGAACTTAAGGAGTGGATGCAGCTGAGCCACTGCAAACAATTTTGAGCCATATCATTCAAAGTCATTAATCATTATTCAATATTGTTTTAAATATGCCTAACCACCGACTGCCTCAGCGAGTGATGCTTTGTGGCGTAGGAGTAGGTTAGAAGAAAGCTGGGGGTAGTCAAACCAAAACATGGCACAAATCCATGAAGTCACAGAAAAGTGGACTGAGTCATGTTGGTAGGTGTCGCCTACCTGTTTGGGGGCCCGCGAGACGAAAGTCACCAATGGTTAGGGACCTTGAATAACATGGCTCAACATCGTTTGTAATGATGCAGGTGCATCAATTCTTTGTGTTCTCTCTAATTCTAACCTTCTAAATTCCTCATAATCTCTATCTTTCTCCTTCTAAATTTATCTTACTGAATTATACTACTGCAATCATATCTTTTCTCCCTAATCTTCTGCATTAGTGCTAATACTTCTACTATCGCTATCACTATTGGATTTGAACTGACATTTGCGTCTCTGAGCTAATGCTGTATGGCAACCTGAATTGATATATGTACGTACAAAGTTCTGTGTTGTATCTGTCTGTTTACTATTGTTTCGCGGAACCTAGAAAGATTTATTGGTTTAAGGACATTAACACCGTTGGATGCCGGTCCAGTGGTTCAATGGTTAGGCGATCGCGCTCCATACCGAGCGTCCCAGGTTCGAATCCTGTGAGGTGCAGGATTCGCGGATGCTCACGGCCACTGATGAGTCCTATACCAGGACGAAACGGCCTTCCAGTGCTTCCAGGTTTCTGCCAATGATGGTCTAACAACAATAAATGATTGATGATTTCAAATGTGTAAAATGAATAAATTGTTGTTACTAAATATGAAAGGTATTTTAAAGTTTCAATGTTAACAGGAATATCGAGAATGACGACGTGTACAATGGACTCGTTCTAAATGAGAACAAAACACCATCGATGAATTCTGTTAATAATCACAAATGAAATATATCATTCTTTCCATTAGTTTAAAGTTATACGTTTAGGATTAGCGGAAACAGTTGTTACTGACTAATCTCACTTAGGGTATCATTGAAAATACAACAGAGCTGAATAAATATTCCAACTAGTAGACGAAATTGTTAGTCCTGGTGTAATGCACGAACCAGTCATTAGGCAGATGGAATAGTAACATATTTAGAGAAGACAAACAACAGAATGTGTAAACGTTATGTTCAGATTTTCAGTTGCGAAACAGGTATATTTTCAACTGTCTTTTTCCACATGTCTTGAAAGTACTTTATTCGCCCCTTACGTTTAGATATAACAGTCTTCAGTAATAACTTTCGAGCAGTACCGCTGCATACTGTTTAGCGATCACAGTGTAAGTAGTGTCTACTATACTGAGTTTGATTTTCCAATGTGCGGTTGTGGATAAGCACTAAGAAACAGATATCCATCGTTTTCAGATTTTTTGATAATAGTCTTAATGTGAGAAACTCATCAGAACTACACATCTACGACCTCTGCATGCGGTAATCGGACCCACGTTCTTCAATCTCTCGCGCGAACACTTAATTTCTAGACCATTGAGTGGTGTTAATGTCTAACTCTGATCAATACAGGCTATTGCCCAACATCACTGAATGTCTTCTGTTATTAACTGCTTACAATCGACGAGGTTGAAATACATTGGTCATGGCTATTTATAGCCTACCGTATTCACTTTTTGACTCGTTTATATATAAGTTACTTATTCATTGATAGTATGATTCTGTCTAGTCTGTTTGTATATAAACTACATTTATTTGAAATACCAATATAGTAGATTATGGTTGTTGAATTCTAAACTCAAGGTCAGTCAAAGAGAAGCTAAAGTCATGAACCAATAGAAATTCAGATTCTGACTCAAGGTTAATGGATGGCACAGACGTACACTTAGTGAAATCGGTTATGTAACAATGCAGTTAGCCAATAAGTCAATTATTCTTTCTTCTTACAGTTTGTTAGGATATTCATCCAATATCCTAAAAGAATTATTGGTCAAATCCTATTGGTCGATTTCTATTGGTCAAATTGATGGTCGTTTT